AACATGACAACAGGACCTGCTCCAAGGGTCGATCTAGCACTGGCTCATCCCATTTCTCATGTGCCGTCTAGGTTCTCCATGACACCTGAAATACACTGCTTCTACGAATCACATCCACCCTTTTTCACAACTCAGTCGGCTGAAAGAGCCATGGCTGGCTAATTGTTTTCACTAACAACGCAGATTCCCTTCGCGACCTTCTTACGCCCTTTATAAGAGAAAAAAAATATGTTTTGTAACTCACCCAGTGCTGTGTGTGTGCATTGTTAGTGTTAGCCCTCAATCTCACACTTTGTATTTTGTACTTTCTATATCCTAGCGTAGTGTAGTTTGCACATTGTGTTTGGTTGGGTGTACACCTACATCCCAACCAAACCCAAATGTGATCTCCAAGCAATCTCCAACCCACCAATTGGAGCTTGCCTTGGGATTACCCCCACTTTCCGATTCCCTTCCCCATCCATTCATTGGTCATCCTGAATGTACTTAAAGAGCTTCGAGCTCATCACTAATCTATGGATTTTAAGCCTAAGTTCTGATATGTATGTGTGTGTTGTGCCTGGGGCACATGTCAGGGACCTTCGATGGAATGTGCTTTCTGGCTCTATTTCCTCAGCAATTGCCAACCTCACTCGCCTCTCCTACCTGTAAGCGCGCTTCCTGCAAATCATCTCAGGATAGGGACAAGCCATTGCCCGGCCCTTGCTACTTCTGATCGGGGGCACTAGCAGAGAGTGTTGAACCAACCATGCGGTGTCAGAACTTCACGTATCAGCTCGCACTTGGCCAAGCCACCTCTCCATGATGCCAAGCCACGCCGAGCCAAAGCGAGTCTCGAGTCTTGAGTTGAACCTGTCCAGCCGAGGGACTGTGCTGTGTGTCCTGTGCTCGAAGGAGCTGTGCTCGGCAACGCCTCACATCATTTGAGTCTGCTGTGTGTCTCATCGTGTCACCTGGGTGTGGCCTGAGCTGGGCCTGTCTTTGTCACATTCAGTTTTGAGAATTCTCAAAATTTATTTCCATCTTTCGGAAATTCGTATAAGGTTGTTTCATAAGGCAACTGAAAGTCGCTAGGCTTGAGCCGCAACGGGCCTGTCTTTGTCACCCTTGCGGTTCAGTTTTCCGCCTTGCTTGCATTCGTTTGGTGCACGGTTGGCCTAATTCGGTTAGATTTCAGTGATGCCTGAAGGCGGCAGTAGGAGCACCAGTTGCAGGGGACACGCCGCATTGTATGGAACCGAACCAGAGCTTCAAGGAGCTTGCATTGTTGCTAAGAGGCCAATGGTTCTCTCACTGGTCTCACCTTGTTAGGGGACGATGATTGAGTCGACTAAAACAATTTGCCAAGAGGCTAATGGCGCTCTCACTGGTCTCACCTTGTTAGGGGACGATGTTTGAGTTGACTAAAACAATTTGCCAAGAGGCTAATGGTGCTCTCACTGGTCTCACCTTGTTAGCGATGTTTGATGTCAGCTAGGAGACACACCCCTCGTCATTAACCTTGGCAGCAAAGGAGACACAAGGCCGATCTTGAGTCCCCATTGAAACTTCAAACTAGGCACCAGTGAGAGCTGAGTCTCTGTGGCAGCCCAACCAACCTTTCTGGTCAATCTTGGTAGCAAAGTACACACAAGGTTGTTGGATTGAAATGCGTAGCGTTGTGTTGAGATAAGAGGGCACAGGTGGAGCTTCGAAAGTGGTTTCATGTGACCAAAAGCAAAGGCATGCTGCATTGGACATTCGCTGCTCCATATGGCGTCGTCATGGCTAACCCACCCCGTGCCGGTGCCACTTTCTCCCTAAATGCCCCTCGCTGTGCCTGTACAGGTCACTAGGCGGTAACAGACTCACTGGCGCAATCCCTTTATCTCTCTTCCGCCTCACAAATCTTGCCATGTTGTGAGCACACTCTTCCACCGCACCAATCTTGCCATGCTGTGAGGCTGCAAGAGAGCCATCGGACATGCCTCATTCCCTATCGTGCAACTAGCAGCTAGTGCATGCAATAAACGACAGAAGCAGCTTCTTTGAGAAAGTTATGCTTCCTTGATGTAAACGAGCGTGGTTCACTTATGAGTGAAGGCTGAGCTAGATAGTAGATGCGAAATGGAAGAAGCGGTTTGAGTTGCCTTCTCACCCACCCTCCATGCAATCCAAATTAGTGTGATGACATAGGGCAGTCTCATTGATTGATTTTCGCTCAGTAGAGGAATGAGTAAGGATGCATGACAGGACAGGGTATGTGTAATGGCAGAGCAAGTTGTGCCCCCCTGATGAGAACAAACGTGGTGCGTGCGTCTATGTATGAAGGCTGAGCTAGGATGAAGCCTGAGATAGACGATGGATGAGAAATGGAAGAAGCGGTATGATTTGCCTCTTACCCACCCTCTGAAACCCTCATTCCCTTCCCTCCATTTCCTCCATGCTGCTTTGATCGTCCCACGCCCCCTCACGTTGAAGCCACAGTCCACATTTCTTGCGGTTTTCATCTCGTCCCTGCCTTGTTCTTGACTCCAATACACTCCATGTCACTCCATGCCACTCCACGTAATTCCATGTCACTCCATGCCACTCCACGTTAATCCATGTCACTCCATGCCACTCCACGTTAATCCATGTCACTCCATGTCACACATGTCATGGCAGAGAGCTCCGTTGGAATCAGCTGCCGGGCTCCATTCCTGCAGCCATCTCTCACCTCACTGCCCTCTCACGCCTGTAAGTTCGCCTGAATGGCTCTCAGCCCATCCAGCAGAGGCACGCTGCACGCCCAGATCTACGCTGTGAAGAAATCAAGCTTCAACCCGTTCTTCGCCCCTTGTTTGACTCAACTGTGGTGAAGTTTTTTTTTTGTTGCCTATAAAGTTTCACCAAGTATAGTATTGGGTTGGACCCAAAGTGAACCTTCTGAGGCGTGCTAAGCACACGTTTCAGCAAGAACTTGTTGGAAATAGGCTTTTCCTGATTTGCTACTTTTTATATCACAGTCTCTTAAGCGAGTTTCCTTCCGGTTGGGTGTAGACTTGCTATCCCCAACCTATTCAACCTTATCCATCCAAAATCCCCATTATTTGGATGGGATGGACCATCCGAGGATTTCGTCCTGATTGGCACTGAGCTTAAGCACTTCTTCCAGGTTGCTCCTACTCCACTATAAGCTTAAATCCTTGGGACATCTCAGGAATTCGACCTGATTGCGTCTAATCCACCCAGCCCTCCTGGTTTGTTGTACTTCGAGCCATGTACCATACATCCTATTATGGTATCAAGGCATCCATTTCCGCCTATACGGTCCTCGATCCTCCCGTTGTCGAAATATTGCTTTCCTATCTCGGTAGTACTTTTGCGATCGTTCTGCTGCCCGTCTCCCCGCATGTGCATGGAATCTCATCGTTCTGCCGCCCGTTTGTGTGTCCACATGGCATGGCATGCTGATGGGGTGTGCACAAGGCATGGCATGCTGATGGTGTGTGCACATGGCATGGCATGCTGTGGTGTGTCCACATGGCATGGCATGGTGATGATGTGTCCACATGGGATGGCATGGGGATGATGTGTGCAAATGGCATGGCATGGCGATGGTGTGTGCACATGGCATGGCACGGTGATAATGTGTACACATGGCATGGCATGGTGATTATGTGTGCACATGCCATGGCATGGTGATGGTGTGTGCACATGCCATGGCACGGTAATAAAGTGTGCATGTGGCATGGCGTGGTGATAATGTGTGCACATGGCATGGCATGGTGATGATGATGTGTCCACATGGAATGGCATGGGGATGATGTGTGTACATGGCATGGCATGGTGATAATGTGTGCACATTGCATGGTTTGACGATGATGACGATGATGATGATGTGTGCACAGAGATCTCAGCTTTAACATCTTTCTGACAGGCTCCATTCCCCTTGAGATGAAGAGCCTGACCAAGCTCCAATTGCTGTGAGAGACCCTCTCTTCCCTCTCCATGAGTGACCCTCTCTTCCCTCTTTGTGAGTGACCCTCTCTTCCCTCTTTGTGAGTGACCCTCTCTTCCCTCTCTGTGAGTGACCCTCTCTTCCCTCTCTGTGACCGACCCTCTGCTTCTTCTCTCACCACATTCCGCTTGGACTCGTTTCCTGCCCGTGCAGTTCTCCTGAGCTGTGAAGGGTGCTGTTTTCTATCTGTGTTGTGTGTGCATCTTTTCTGGTGCGTGTGTGCATGTATGCGCATGTGCACGTGTGTGGGTGTGTGCGTGTGTGGGTGTCTGGGTGTGTGCGTGTGTGGGTGAGTGGGTATGTGCGTACGTGTGCTGGCTGAGCGTTGCGTGCGCGCGCGCGTGTGTGCGTGCGTGCGTGCGTGCGTGCGTGGGGTGCGTGCGTGGGGTGCGCGCGTGGGGTGCGTGTGTGTGTATGTGTGTGTGTGTGTGTATGTGTGTGTGTGTGTGTGCGTGTGCGTGCGTGCGTGCGTGCGTGCGTGTGTGTGTGTGTGTGTGTGTGTGGGTGTGTCCGTGTGTATGTGCGCGCGCGCGCGCGTGCGTGCGTGCGTGCGTGCGTGCGTGCGTGTGTGCGTGTGTGTGTGTGTGTGTGTGTGTGTGTGTCTGTGTGTGTGTGTGTGTGTGTGTGCGTGCGTGCGTGCGTGCGTGCGTGCATGCATGCGTGTGTGTGTGTGTTTCTATGGTGCTGCACATGCGTGTGCAGGTACCTTAGCTATATGGGTCTATCAGGCCCCTTTCCCTCCTGGATCTCTGGTCGCACTATGCTCAGAAAACTGTATGCTCTCAGCCTCTCTGTGCTTCTTTTCATTCACCCGTGGTCACGTTTAGATTGGTGCATCCCCAATCTATCCAACCTGGTCCATCCAAAATTTCCTCGATTTGGATAAATCCCCTCACGACTTTCCCTCTATTCTATTCCTCTTACCCCCCCATCCCACTTCTTTAAGCAAAGAGCAACAATGTGGCCACTACATAATCTACAAATACTCGGCAACATCCCCTTGGTGTTCTTATGCTGGATGCGGAGCAACTGTACACATAGGGGAATGCTCGAGTCGGTATTCATTCGTACTACAACCATAGTACCATACCCCTTGTCCATTCCAGTCGCGTCATTGTTCATTGTGCATCTGTGTGTGGCTGGTTGCAGGGAGGCCGCCCACAACAGCATCAACGGCAGCATACCAGAGTCCATCGGCAGTACCATCAATCTTCAAGTCTTGTAAGAGCCGCCTTCAAGTCTTGTAAAACCCATACCCATCAGCCTTTACGGAGATTTTGGCTTACAGCCCGGGCCGGGCCCCCTTGACCGAGTCACTTTTGAGAATTCTCAAAGGTGTTTTCAATAGGGCCAAACCAGGTTCAACCTGTGCGCATGCCTGCCCTATCCCTACCCGCCCTGTCCTGTGTGTATCCCTACCCGCCCATGTGCACCCCTACCCGCCCATGTGCACCCCTATCCGCCCCATGTGCACCCCCTATCCGCCCCATGTGCACCCCTATCCGCCCCATGTGCACCCCTATCCGCCCCGTGTGCACCCCTATCCGCCCCATGTGCACCCCTATCCGCCCATGTGCACCCGTCGTATCCGCCCCTCCTGCACCCCAATCCGCCCCTCCTGCACCCAAATCCGCCCCTGTACACCCCTGTCCGCCCCTGTGCATCCTTTTCCCTCGCTGCGTGCAACAGCTCGGTGTGGAAGAACAACCTGTCAGGCAGCATTCCCGAGTCCATTGGCAGCCTCATCCCTATCCAACCCTCGTGCACCGCTGTCCGCCTCTGTGCACCCCTGCCCGCCTCTGTGCACCCCTGTCCGCCCCTTTGCACCCCTATCCTGCACTGCACTGCGTGCAACAGCTCGGTGTGGAAGAACAACCTGTCAGGCAGCATTCCTGAGTCCATTGGCAGCCTCACCAAGCTCAGCACCCTGTCAGTGTCACCACTGTCAACCCTCCACATGAGGTGTCTGAAACAGACATGAGCAGCAATCCAAACCCTTGTTCTTGTTCTTTCTTCTTTTTCCACATTCATTTAGGTGTATCTGCCTAGTTTCTTAGGTGTATTCGCCTAGTTTTTTTTAGGTGCATTCTCAAAAGTTATTTCAATAGGTTCTCTAGGGGACTGCGTGTTTTAGAGCTGGAATCACATTCTTTGCCACGTCTTATCTGTAATGAAAGTGCTTCACACCGAACCTGGACTGGGTTTAACCGAACTGCCTCGAACTTGTTTCCCACAAGGGTTCGACCCACAAGGGTCCGACCATAAGAGTTCGACCCATAAGGGTTCGAGCCATAAGGGTTTGAGAGCCTGAAAACAGGACTGGTTCAGTTGGTTATTTGCTCATGCATAGTCTCAAAAGCAGCCTGTCAGTATTTCCATCGTCACCCTCTCACCGGGGGCTGGAGTACCTTTGCAGCTGACGCAGGGTGGGGAAACGGGCAGCGGAATGCTTCACAACAGCATATGTTCTCTGAATTCGTTTCACCCTTGTGAAGAGTACATGCATTTTTTTGTTTCGGCGCCTCAGAGTTATTTCCTGTTCTCACAGTAGCACATGTCCAGAGGGGCAGCACCATGTGCTTTCTCCCAAAACCTCCTCACCTCTGCTCGTGCTCCTGTTTCACAAGAGTATCTTCTGTGCAGGGTGCCACCTCCCCACTCCTCCACTCGTGTAGTAGGAAGGAACGAACAGCCGATGATTGATGATGTGGCTGACAAGGCTGAGCAGTGGTGCTGCAGGGATCCGTCTGACAATGGTGCTGTTGCGTGTGAGGAATATGAAAGCAACACCAACATGGCTGACATGGCTGCCATGGCTGACACAAGGCTGATGGGTGTATCGCCTGCAGGGACCTGTCAGACAACCAGCTAGAAGGAACCATCCCCGAGGGCATTGGCAACATGAAGGACATTCGGAAACTGTGAGATCGCTGAATAATACCTCCACGCAGGATGCCTACCTCCACGCTGGATGCCTACCTCCACGCTGGATGCCTACCTCCACGCTGGATGCCTACCTCCACGCTGGATGCCTAACTTCAATCCTCTCATCCAACCATCATGGTGGTAATCTGACCCACGGTGCTGTTTTCACTCCCTCCCCCTTTCGTACCAATACCATGCCAACACTCCGTTCCCTGTATGCGATGCCAAAATTGTGTGAACAGCACTCCATGCCATGCAGTTCTGTGGATCATAGCTTCTTATCACTGGAGAAACGCCATCACTGTGTGCGCTGTGACTGTGCGCTGTGACTGTGTGCGCTGTGACTGTGTGCGCTGTGACTGTGCGCTGTGACTGTGTGCGCTGTGACTGTGCGCTGTGACTGTGTGCGCTGTGACTGTGCGCTGTGACTGTGTGCGCTGTGACTGTGCGCTGTGACTGTGTGCGCTGTGACTGTGCGCTGTGACTGTGTGCGCTGTGACTGTGCGCTGTGACTGTGTGCGCTGTGACTGTGCGCTGTGACTGTGTGCGCTGTGACTGTGCGCTGTGACTCTGTGCGCTGCGCTGCGACTGTGTGGCGTGGGTTCGCAGGGATCTCTCAAACAACCACTTGAGTGGCACTCTCCCCACCACCCTCTCTCGCCTCTCTGGCCTGTTTCAGCTGTGAGTCACAATTCACGACGCAGCAAGGGCACATGGGTGCATGGGGACATGGAAACGTGGATGAATAGGAACATGGACGCGTGGGTGGGATAGATAGGAAATCTGGGCGTTACCCAATGAGATCAGCTGGGCTAAAGATTCCAAAAGACCACATTCTATTAAGGTTGGGATATCAGTGTGTCACCTAACCCATGAAAACAGCCACACTAAATCCGGATATGAAAGTACAACTACAAAAGTGGAGACTGCGATTTATCTCTAACATATGCTTGGCACATGAACTGACACATTGATCCGCACATTTATTCGCAGATCGTTGGTTTCTGGGTGATGAGCAACAATAGTCCACATGCTCATAAGTCCACATGTTCATGAGCTGATCTCATGGTTCTCTCTGTTTTTGTACAGGCTCTTCTTGAGGCACTTCAAGAAAGTGTTCACTCCGCTATTCCACATGCTCTACTTGAAGCGCCTCAAGTGGTTCACTCTCCTCTGCTCGTCCTCAGGTTCCTCCAGCGCAACAACCTGAGTGGTGCATTTCCCCTTTGGATTGCACAGATGTCCAGCATTGGATGGCTGTGAGTGCATTGCTTGCAGAGATTGTGATTCTTCTCCTATTCTATGGTTGTGCTTTTTCACTTTTGCCCAATCCACACATGCTGTTGTTCAACACATCTCTGCTTATCCTTTTATCATCTCCAGTGTCCTGCTGAGTGCGATTACGCATCCATTGCAATGCATCGCAACGCATCCATTGCATCGCCCCCCTGCCAGGTACCTGAATGACAATAACTTCTCTGGCCCCGTGCCTGCTTCTCTTGGCGGCTCTAAAGGCCTCATCTTCCTGTGAGTCGCCTGCTGTGCAGTATTCTATCATGTCATGTGACCTGCCCTGCGATGAGAACATGCATGTCACATGCGTCCCTTTATGTGAGAGGGGTCATCATATTCGTCGTCTCTTTATTCACTGCTCCCTCATCATGCCTTGGCAGTTCCCTTCGCTGTGATGATAACCCTCTGCCCTCTTTCACTCACTCACCCCCTCCATCCACCACCCCTCTTCCGTCCTTCAGCGAGTTGTCAGGTTCGGGGCTCACGTGCCCGCCGAATGCGTCCAACTGTGTGGTTCGGCAGGTCAACTACAGCGCCTTCTGCCAGGACTGCCATGAATTCTGTGCCACGTGCACAAGTGATCAATGTGAGCTGCTGCAGTACTTGTGATTCTGAGCTTCAATACTTGTGCTTCTGGTGCTTCAAGTCTTGTTATTCAGGTTCTTCGGTACTTGTGATTCCGCTGCTTCACGACATGTTTTTCTCGTGTGCTGGTGCATGTGTCCCTCCAAAGCAGCCCCACCCCCATCACCAATCGTGGCCTCCCCTCCACCATCCCCATCGCCCAATCAACCCACCTCCCCCTCCTCATCCTCCCCCCCTTCCTCCTCCTCACCCTCTTCCACCTCTCTCGATTCCTCCTCCCAATCCGGCCTGTCTGTGGGAGCTGTCGTTGGCATTGTGACAGCAGCCCTTCTGCTGTTGCTTCTGCTGCTGGCCTCAGCTTGGTGGCTTGCCGGGCACTTCAAGATTTTCACTAACGGTAAGGTTTTTTTCATGTTAGCCTTTAGTCAAGGGAGCACAGGTGTGTGTGCGAGAGGCGCCTCAATTCTGACAGATTCCAGCCACGAGCACCATATCAACTCCATATCTTTGTATAACGTATCTTGCAAACCTGCTGTGTTCCAATGTGCTGCTTCTCACAAACCAAAATACGCCTATCAAAATTTTTAATTCGTTTTTTTTTTATCTCTAATAAACCGTGGTTCCCTCCCTGATACCATACTCCCCACAGACTCCTCGAGCCCGCGCTTAGGCAACACAACCATGCCATGCCGGCGCTACTCCTTGGCGGTGGTGGCGCGTGCAACCAACAACTGGTCCAAGGAGTGCCTGCTGGGGTCGGGCGCGTATGGAGATGTGTACCGAGGGGTGTGCCCTGAGGATGGCACCACGCTGTGGGCCGTGAAGCGCGCCAAAGTCATCACCGCTGACTTCCACAGAGAGGTGGGTCACCACCCGCACGAATGTTTTGAGTTTTTTTTTTTAGTTGCCTTGAAAATCAACTGAGGATGGCACCACGCTGTGGGCCATGAAGCGCGCCAAAGTCATCAATCTGTCTGCTCCTCTCTTGTCTGGTGGCTTCACACTAGTAACTTGAAAGAACACAAAGTTTCAGGCGCTTAAAAGAGTATGTACCAATCCCTGTTATTCTCTGCTCGTGGTCTCACCCAAATTGTCTCAAACGGCTTGCCCCTCTCTGTTCCCATGTAGTTGTTTCTGTCAGCCATGCGCTGCAGTCGTTTGTATCAGTCCCCCTCTCTTTTTGGAAGTGGACACTGGAATGGCCCGAAATGGTCTCCCCAAGGGCTACAGGTGTCGTCTTGGGGGGGTGTGGGTGCGCTGACCTACCAAGGAAACATGTCATTTTTTCAGTCGGTTAGCGGACTGGATTGCTATCTCTGCATCTCTCTCTCTCTCTTCTCTTGGTCTAGCACAGGTGGCGCAGATGGCCACAAAGCATCATCCCAATCTGGTGCGGCTGCTGGGGTACGCAGTGGGAGGCCATGTGAGCACACGGGTGGAGAACGTTCTCGTCTACGAGTTCATCGCCAATGGCGACCTGCGCGGGTGGATCGGCCCAGGTACTGTCCACTCCTTTTTCACTTGGTTTTAGTCGATCCTGCTGCTTAGCGCTCCTTTACACACTGCTGCTCTTCTAACCATGAGTAAGTTCATCGCCAATGGCGTCATGCACACGTGGATCGGCCCAGGTACTGTCCAGTCCTTTGTTGTGCTTTGTTAACCATGCCCTTGCATCTACCATGCACTTGCATCTACCATGCACTTGCATCTACCATGCACTTGCATCTACCATGCACTTGCATCTACCGTGCGCTTGCATCTACCGTGCACTTGCATCTACCGTGCACTTGCATCTACCATGCACTTGCATCTACCATGCACTTGCATCTACCATGCACTTGCATCTACCATGCACTTGCATCTACCATGCACTTGCATCTATCGTGCACTTGCATCTACCATGCACTTGCATCTACCATGCACTCGCATCTACCATGCCCTTGCATCTACCGTGCACTTGCATCTACCATGCACTTGCATCTACCGTGCACTTGTGTCAACAGTGCGTTTGTGTGGACAGTTCGAGAAAACAAAAATAGCAAACAAAAGAAGAAGGGTAAAGGTGCTTCAGTAATCAATGGACAAAAGCCAGTGGCCGACACGCTTGCCAGTTCTTCAAAGCGGCTGGACCTTTCAAGCCAGACCCGTCTGGTTCGACGAGCCAGGAAGGGCAAAGGAGACTGTAACGGAAGGAGGCTGGGCTTGGCTCGAATTAGGCCGAGCCGACCCTTCAGGTTTGACAAGCCAGGGAGGTCCGTCCCGAGCGGGGGCCAGCCCTTACACAGACCTAATCTGCAGTACCTTGCAGATTGGAAGCTCCAGGGCCTGCCCTCGTTGGCTTTGTAGTGACACTGGTGCCACTTTTCGGGTCTGCACTGCACCACACTGCACTCCCAGATACCCCACACGTGGACTCTGCAGCAGCGGGGTTACCCTCTTCATAGGTGCTGCTCATGGCTTCTGGTTTCCTCTCCTCTGCAACGCAGCATCTCAATGCTGCTTTTCTCTGATTCTGCCTCGCCTCTGCTCTGCCCTTTTCCAGATACGTCCACAAGTTTGACTCTGCAGCAGCGGGTGGGCATCCTCTTGGGGGTGGCACGGGGCTTGGAGTATCTCCACAGCTTTGGCCTCGTGCACCGCGACATCAAGCCAGCCAACATCCTCCTTGACGCCCACATGCAGGTGAGTTGACGTTCAAGTCGACTCAAAAGTCATCCTACTAGGGATGGTGTGTGGGTTGGAGGCTTGGAGCATCTGCACAGCTTCGGTCTGGTGCATTGGACGTCAAGCCCGCCAACATCCTCCTTGATGCTCACATGCAGGTGGGCTCACCAAATGCTCGCAAGGCACTTGCTTCACATGCAGGTGGGCTGAACAGATGTTGGCAAGGCACAGGTGTGGCAATCAGGCACACGCACTCATGCACGATATCACTTGGTCATGCAGGTGCAGTCGTAAAGCGTTACAGCCACCTTGAACAATATCAATCCAATCCACCCTCCGAACTAGATGAACTCATTCTGTCTGAATCACATGAACCCCCATATTGCCCCAATCCTCCTCTGCCGCTCGTCTTGCCTGCCTTGCCCGTCCTTCCCCAGGCAAAGGTGGCAGACTTTGGTCTTGTGCACGTGGGGGAGGGCACGGCAACAGGGTTCACACGAGTGCTGGGAACGGTGGGCTATGTGGACCCTGCTTATACCCTTACTCACAACGCCACCACTACTGCTGACGTTTACAGGTGCGGTGCAGATTTGAGACTACTTTGATTCAGGTTGGATGTGTGCTTTAGGGAATGCAACACCATCACCGTCACTGGGGCATACATGCAGAATGCACCCTTGAAGTGCAAATGTTCAGTGAATGACATGTGACAAGCGGTGAATTGAAGGTCAAACCAGAGCCTCTACTTTGCTTGATGCATGCTCAATGAAAGCATGAGATAGAAAGAGTTGGGGCTAAGTGCCCATTCCAACATCCAATGGCTAAGTGCCCATTTAAATATTCATTGGCTAAGTGCCCATTCAAACATTTAAGGAGTTGGGGCTACGTGCCCTTTCCAACATCCACTTCGCTTCTCGTCTATTGTCATCTGCCCCCACTTTCGCATTCATGAGATGGCGCTTGGCAATGCTACTTTCCCGTATTATTCAAACCATGCAGTGTGCGTTGCTACTTGCTCCCTTGCTTCCTCAACTCCTTGCTTCCTTTCTCCCTTACATGGGTTCTTCCTTTGTTCTCAAACATGTTTTGTGGTGCATCTTTTCAATTCTCATGTTGGTGCAGCTCCCCTCGTGCTCTCAGGCGGAACACCCACCATCAATGTGATGAGCGTTGGTGACCAAGAACCGAAGTTAGAGTACCTATTTCGTTTTTGCTTGTTCACAAACGTGTGTTGTGGTGCAGCTTCGGTGTGCTCATGCTGGTGATGCTGTCGGGCAGAGGAGCCACCATCAGTACGATGACTGGCAGCGGTCCAGAAGGATGTGCTGCCCATGAGCCAATCTCCATTTCCAAATGGGTGTGTTTGCCAATCAATTTGCATGCACACTCATCAGGGTTCTCTTCATCTGTTGTGCCCACAGCATGTGTTCCCCGCCCATCATGTCTTTTCCATCCCCAACCATGTGCTTCCCGTATTTCCCGCCCCCTATCATGTGTTTCCCGCACCGAACCATGTCTGCCCTGCCCCATATCCCAGGCAACTGATGTCATGTCGGAAGGGAAGACAGCACTCCTCAAGGATCCCCGCATGGAGGCACCGGAGGACATCGTCATTCGCCTTGCCCACCTCGCTGTCACCTGCACCGCCATGCCCACCGCCTCGCGCCCCTCCATGTCCCGAGTGGCCCAACACTTGGAAGCTCTACAAGAGGAGGCGGGAGGGGGGGATGCGAGAGCGAGGGCTGCAGCGAGGGTTGACGAGAAGCTGTCGAGTCAACGGTTGCGAAGAAGCATTGAGGAGGATCTTGCGTTGCTGGACAAGCAAGTGAAGCATGAGGGTGATTCAGCGGTTTTTGAGGCGCCTCAAAGATCGCCTTCTGAGGCGCCGCAAAGGTCGCCTTTTGAGGCGCTCCAAGAGGTTACGAAGGAGCATGGAGGAGGGCCGTGCGTTGCTGAATGAGCAAGTGATGCACGAGGGTGGATCAACGATTATTGAGGCGACGCAAAGGTCGCCTTTTGAGGCGCCCCAAGAAGAGGTTACGAAGGAGCATGGAGGAGGGTCGTGCGTTACTGAATGAGCAATTGACGCATGAGGATGAGGCAGCGGTTAGATTTGCGCAGACACGGGGGATGGAACCTTAGGGCGCGTGTCTTTTGTAAAATCTATGCAACACTCGAGTTTTGAGTTGAACTTACGCAGTTGAACCTAGGTCGACCTAGGCTCAACAATATTGGTTGCTGTAGCCCGAGTCGCTGCTCCTCAACCCACAAGAACCAAAAGACACGCGAAAGTTCAACAATTGAAGTTGAACTTTCCCGAGTCGCGGTTAACCTACGTAGGTTACCCTGTTTTTGACGCGTTTTTGGCGACACAGTAACCTTTTTTCCGAAGTCGTTCGTGCGCACGAAATGTGCTATGACCGTCGCCTAGATTCGCAACTACCTAGTGCATTGTCAAGAGGACACACGAGTGAATTTTTGTGCATGCATAGTTTCAACCGAAAGTTCAACCCATTCGTCATCTACAATGTTGTACTAGGACACACGATGCACAAGCGAAACATTAAGCGAGATTCGCGAATAGGGTTACCAGCAAAAGTTCAACCGAATTTTCGAACCTCTACAGCAAAAGACACGCGCCCTTATTGGAGTGACAGCTCATGAAAGGAAACCACGATAACGACCATACAGTGGCAAACTTCTGAGATGTAAATTTTATCTCTGAACATTTTTCCAACATATTTGTCTAAGCAACTAGAGAGCACACGGGCCAAAAACTGGAAGTGGAACGGGTGTCAACAAAATTGGCTCTCCAATGTGACTACGGTACTTACGAAAGGGGGGCAAGGGGGGGTTGTGTGTTCTAAAGGGGTCTTCACTTCAGATTGGTGCCACACATGGTAGGCAAGGCTAAGCAATCATGATGAGCGGCCTCATCACATCGTTGCCATCATGCTCCAGCTCGTGGCAGTACCACACGCGGGGCGGATTGATCATGCAAATGTGGTGGGAGTGTCCGCATCCTAAGCAGTCATGGCCCATCGCATGGGGCTAAGCAGTCATGCCCCAACGCATGGCAGAGCCACATGTGGTAGGTAACCCTGCGGTCATGATGAGTGGCCTCATCACGTTATTGTCATCATGCTCCAGTGCATGGCAGTGCCACACATGGGGCTAAGCAGCCATGTCCCAATGCATGGCAGAGCCACCTGTAATTTTAGGTAACCCCCCTGTGGTCATGATGAGCGGCCTCATCATGTCGTTGTCCCCGTGCTCCATCATGTGGCAGTGCCACACATAGCCCGGGCCCTCTGTGGCATCAAAGGGGAACGGCTTGCCATCCTGCACATGGGGAGATATGGAAAGGAGACACAGAGACATGCAAAGATATGTGAGGCGATTTAGACATGGAGGAACAGAGGGTTGGCATAGCATAGCATTGCAGAAAGGGTTGAGAAGAGGAACAGGGCAGGTGCAGAGGTAAGAGAGTGCACTGAGGAGTGGAGAGGTGGAGGGCGGGAGTGGAGAGGTGGAGGGTGGGAGTGGAGAGGTGGAGGGCGGAAGTGGATGAGTTTGGCGCAGCTGGTCAGGAAACACAACACTAGAGTCCTGGTTTCCCTGTCTGTATGTACTCCGTCGCTGCCGTTCCTCCCCAGTAAACCATCTCGTCTATTCTTAACAAAAGAAAGGGACCAACTAACAAAGGACTAGGTGAAAACAGCCTTGCCTGTACCTGAAACAGGTGGTGACAACACTACCAGGGCTCGGGGGAAGTAACACTGGTCTTTCCGCCCTACCACCTTCCCCTCCACCACACTGCACCGCGTCTCACTCACCTGCCCCTTGAACGGCACAAAGACAGTGAGAACGCTGTCGGGGAATGCAACAGTGGTGTCCTTCCATCCCCTCTCATGCTCTGGCACGGGCCGAGCCGGCCCTGTGAAGCAGCTGGGCTTGACAGGGGACGAGGGCGCGAGCGAACATGAGCCATTGATTAGCCCGCCAGAGTCGATCGGACGGCGGGAGATGGGGCGGTGTTGTATGAGGTGGAGGTGGATGGGGTGCGTCTCGAATGTCGGATTGATGATGTGCCAAAGCTCTGATGTGCCCTGAATAAAAGGAGTTTTTGAAAGGCAAATGCCAAAACGCACAACAAATTATTTAAGAGCAGAATTTACTGGTGCACTCCCGAGGGAGGAGAGCTGGCATACTTCTGACTTGCGGGCATCATCCTGTATTAGAAGAGCAAAGAGTTAACTAAAAAGGCCTGTGCCTTCTCGGTGGCCTGTGCCTTCTCGGTGGCCTGTGCCTTCTCCGTGCTTCCCTTCACATAAGAGACATCATGGTTGGCGTGCTTCCCTTCACATAAGAGACATCATGGTTGGCGTGCTTCCCTTCACTTAAGAGACATCATGGTTGGCGTGCTTCCCTTCACTTAAGAGACATCATGGTTGGCGTGCTTCCCTTCACTTAAGAGACATCATGGTTGGCGTGCTTCCCTTCACATAAGAGACATCACTTCATCATGGTCGTTATCTCTTCCTCTACTGTTCTCTCACCATGCCTTGGCGTTTCCCTCCCCCACCTTTCACCTCCTCCATCCACATCCCCTCTTCCATCCTTCAGCGAGTTGACAGACTCGGGGCTCAATAGCCCGCCGAATGCGTCCACCTGCGTGGTTCGGCAGGTCAACAACAGTGCTTTCTGCCAGGACTGCCACGACTTCTGCGCCACGTGCACTAGTGATCAATGTGAGCTGCTTGGGGCTTCCATGCCACGTGCACACAAATGTTATCAGAATCAGCATGCAGCGGCATGTTCTGCTGTGACGCCTGTACAGGCACGTCGGTGTTGCTTTTGAGGTGTGCATTCTCGAAAGCAACTCCAGCACGGGAATCTGTGACACATGTACAGCTGACTTCTGAGGCGCCTCAGTAGACTTCAGCACTACGTGTGTACAAGAGATGAAGGAGAGATGCTTGTGGCACCGAGGTGACGTTTGAGTCGACCCAAAGGGTGCGTCTGCTACGACTGCAAGAGCCTTTGTGCCATGCATGCAAGTGATGAATGTCAGCTGCTTCAATACTTGTGATTATGGGATTAGTAGTAATTTTGCTGCTTCACTACATCTTATTCTGGTGTGCTGGTGCATGTGTCCCTCCAAAGCAGCCCCACCCCCATCTTTAGTCGTGGCCTCGCCTCCACCATCCCCATCGGCCAGTCAACCCACCTCCCCCTCCTCCTCACCCGCCTCACCCTCCTCCACCTCACTCGATTCCTCCTCCCAATTCGGCCTGTCCGTGGGAGTTGTCATCGGCATTGTGGCAGCTGCCCGTCTATTGCTTCTGCTGCTGGCCTCAGCTTGGTGGCTTGCCGCAAACTTCAAGATTTCCACAAAGGGTAAGGTTTTTTTACATGTTAGCCTTCTGTCAAGGGTGCACAGCATGTCAAGGGTGCACATAGGATTGAGCAAAGAAACGAACACCCGAGGTGAACCGGACATGTTTTTTTTCAGCTTAAAGTGTTCGTGACAAACGGTTCGAGGTTCGCCCGAACACACCTTCACAGGCGAACACCGAACACTCTTTCTTGGCTAAAAGTGTTCGCCGAACCGAACACTGTTCGGTTCGGCGAACGGCTGTGTTCGTGTTCGCCCCTTGCTCATCCCTAGGTGCACAGCATGTCAAGGGTGCACAGCATGTCAAGGGTGCACATCACAGGCGTGTGAGAGCCACCTCGATTCTGACAGATTTCAACAACGAGCAGCATGTCAACTTCTTGTCTTTGTATATTGTAACTTGCAAAACCGTTGTGCTCCCAGATGTGCTGCTTCTTACAGGGGAAAACGCAATCTTTTTTCTCTCTCTCTCACTCTTTCTCTCATCAACCGTGGTGCTCGTCCCATTACTATACCCCCCACAGACTCCTCCAGCCCGCGCTTAGGCAACACAACCACGCCATGCCGACTCGCTGGCGGTGGTGGCGCGTGCAACCAACAACTGGTCGAAGGAGTGCCTGCTGGGATCGGGCGCGTATGGAGATGTGTACCGCGGGGTGTGCCCCGAGGATGGCACCACGCTGTGGGCCGTGAAGCGCGCCAAAGTCATCATCGCTGACTTCCATAGAGAGGTGGTTGAAGTGCAGAGAGGTGGGTCACAGGCAGAGAGGTGGGTCACGGGCAGAAAGGTGGGTCAACACCCGCACGACTACTTTTGGTAGTGCAGAGGGAATCTCTGTAATCCTCTGCTCATGGTCTCACGCAACTGCCTCAGGTGTCCTCTGAGTCGACTAAAACAGCTTGCCCCTCTCTGTTCCCATGCATTTGTTTCTGGCAGCCCCTGAAACAAGGCAGCCCCTCCTTTCCGTCAACACTGCAGTCAATTGTATCAGCCCTCTCTCTCTTCTTGATCCAGCACAGGTGGCACAGATGGCCACGAAGCATCATCCCAATCTGGTGCGGCTGCTGGGGTACGCAGTGGGAGGCCATGTGGGCACGCGCGTGGAGAACATTCTCGTCTACGAGTTCATCCCCAATGGCGACCTGCGAGGGTGGATCGGCCCAGGTACTGTCCTGTCCACCTGCGCATGTGGATCAGCCTCACTTTTGAGAATTCTCAAAAGTGTTTTTTATGAGTTTATCGCCAATGGCGACCTGCGCACGTGGATCTCTCTAGGTACTTTTTGGTCCCTTGAGTTGTCTCGGAAGTCACATTGCTGGGGTACTCACGTAGTGGGAGGCCATGTGAGCCTTAAGAGGGTGGATTGGCCGAGGTATCGTCCACTCCGTTGCTGTGCTACGTCAACCATGCACTTGTGTCTACCGTGCCCTTGTGCCAACCATGCACTTGCGCCGATGGTTGTAGAAAATATATCATATATATACACACATATATATGTATATATATGTACGAATGTGTGCGTGCGTGCGTGCATGCGCGCGTGTGCGTGTGCGTGCGTGCGTGCGTGTGTGCGTGCGTGCGTGTGTGGGTGTGTGCGTGTGCGTGCGTGCGTGGGTGCGTGCGTGCGTGTGTGCGTGCGTGCGTGCGTGTGTGCGTGCGTGCGTGTGTGTAGAGAAGCTATGTGGAGCGTGCGTCTGTGTGTGTAGAGAAGCTATGTGGAGAAAGACACTTTGGGCGTCCTGCGTCCTGCTGCGTCCGGACGCAGAGACGCAGGACGCGCGTCCGGACGCAGGACGCACGCCAGAATTTTTTCCAGGCTGCCTGAAGGTTTTTTTGCTCTATCATCATGTTCCGGATGCAGGACTCACCATCATGCTCTAGTGTTTTGGGGGAAATTTTGTCTTTGGGGATAAATTTTGCAATGAAAATGGGCAAGCCCCCCCCCCCGCTTCCCTCTGCCCTATAACATTTTTTTGGGGCTGCCCAGGGTTTTTTTCCCTGCCCGGGCCTTCGTCTTTTGCTGCGTCTCAAAGGCCAGAATCCTGCGTCTTGCGTCTGGACGCATGCGTCCTAGACGCAGGACCCGTCTTTCTCCACACAGTGTAGAAGTTCTTCCATGCTAGCGATGCCGGCCGGCCAGCTCGAGGTTGGCTGGTCGGGCCCGGCGGGTTGTAAATTGCGGTATGATTGAGAAGGCCTCGCGGACGAAACACGTGCGCCTATGTTTGATTAGGACTTATCAAGTCCGAATTTTACTCTGTTCCCACTCTACAGGTAACCTACCCTTGAACTTAGCTACAACTTCTGAGGAGAGCCGGTCGCTTATTGCGGTTTGAATCCAACTTCCTTGCTCAATCCCAGAACCCAGTGCTGCTTCTTTCCAATGCCACTTCTTTCTTATGCGGCCTTTCTCTCTCTCATCCATTCTTCAGATGCGCCTACAAGTTTGACTCTGCAGCAGCGGGTGGGCATCCTCTTGGGGGTGGCACGGGGCTTGGAGTATCTTCACAGCTTTGGCCTCGTGCATCGCGACATCAAGCCCGCCAACATCCTCCTTGATGCTCACATGCAGGTGGGCTCACCAAATGTAGTGGTAGCTTGGGGTGCAGGTGCAGTGGTAGCTTGGGGTGCAGGTGCAGTGGTAAGGTGTTACAGCCATCTTGAGTCAGATCAACCCACCCTCTCAATCAAATGAACCCATCCTGTCTGAATCTCTGACTCCATTCAGCCCCAACTCTCCTCTGCTGCGTGTCTTGTCCTTCCCCAGGCGAAGGTGGCGGACTTTGGGCTGGTGCACGTGGGGGAGGGCACGTCATCATCAGGCTTCACTCGAGTGCTTGGGACGGTGGGCTATGTGGACCCTGCTTACTCCCTTACTCACAGCGCCACCACCACTGCTGACGTTTACAGGTGCGGTGTAGATTTGCGCCTTACATAGGAAGTATGTTAGAAGATCTGCAAATTTAAGCTTGCTTTTGAGTCAGGTTGGATGTGTGCTTTAGGGAATGCAACGGCAGCTCCGTCACTGGTGTATACATGGAGAGCACACCTTGAAGTGCAAATGTACAGTGATTGGCACGTGTCAATGAATGTAATGTAAATGAAGGTTGCTACATAGCCTCTACTTTGCTTCATGAATGCTCAATGAAAGAATGAGATACAAGGAATCGAGGCTTAATGCAGATTTTAACATTGACCTTATCATGTACTTCGCTTCTCATCTATTGGCATCCACCCCCCCCCTTGCATTCCTTCTTCTCATTGTGAGACAGTGCTTGGAAATGCGCCTTTCCAGTACTAATCAAACCCTACAGCATGCGTTACTCCTTGCTTTCCTGCTTCCTTCCGTCCTTGCTTCCTTGATTCCTTGCTTCCCTGCTTCCGTACATCAGTGCTTCTTTTGTTCTCATTTATGTGTCATGGTGTAGCTTTGGTGTTTCTCATGTTGCTGATGCTCTCAGGCGGAAGACCCACCATCAATGCGATGAGCGTTGGGGACCAAGAACCGATTTGAGGGTACCTATTTCCGTGTCACCTGTTCTTGAACATGTGTTGTGGTGCAGCTTCGGTGTGCTCATGCTGGTGATGCTGTCGGGCAGAGGAGCCACCATCAGTGCGATGAGTGGCAGTGAGTCAGACGCATGTGGTGCCCACGAGCCAATCTCCATCTCCAAATGAGTGTGTGTGCCAATCGATTTCCGTCTCTGTCCATCAACGTCTGCAATGTTCTTTCTCCAGCGCTCTGAACACAACTGCTTACGCTCGGATGTTGCACCCATCAAGGCCCCTTCACCTTTTGTACCAATGGCAAGTGTTTCCCGCCCCTATCATATCGTTTCCACCCCCGACATATTCCTCCCACCCCCTATCATGTATTTCCCGCCCCTTATTATGTCTGCCCGGCCCCGTATCCCAGGCAACTGATCTCATGGCGGAAGGGAAGACGGCACCCCTGAAGGATCCCCGCATGGAAGCACCGGATGACATCGTCATTCGCCTTGCCCACCTCGCTGTCACCTGCACCGCCATGCCCACCGCCTCGCGCCCCTCCATGTCCCGAGTGGCCCAACACTTGGAAGCTCTACAAGAGGAGGCGGGAGGGGGGGATGCGAGAGCGAGGGCTGCAGCGAGGGTTGACGAGAAGCTGTCGAGTCAACGGTTGCGAAGAAGCATGGAGGAGGATCTTGCGTTGCTGAATAAGCAAGTGATGCACGAGGGTGAATCAACGGCTTTAGAAACGCCTCAAAGGTCGCCTTTTGAGGCGCCCCAAGGAGGAGGATCGTGCCTTGCTGAATCCCGTACCGCAATATTTCCCTGAAGAAACGTACTCGATTTCTAAACACCACATCCTAAAGAAACGTACTCTGAAATTTGTCCAAGTCATGTTGTAAAACCAAGAACCTCCAGAGAGCACTCGATACCTGTGCTTGCAATCCATGCGTTCTCTTTTCAGGCGTGATCCTACAGCAGCAGATGCTCTACCAAAATCTCTATTGTCTATAGGATAGTGTTTCTATGCACCTAAGCCAACCTTCTGGTCATCCCAGGTTTGTATTGAGGTGCTATTGTGTCAACAACCCATAAAGAATGCCTCCTAGTTGTCCTCAATAACTTCACCACCCCCGCTCTCTCCACCCACCTCGAGGAGGTTGGATTCCAATTTTTGTCGTCAAAACACGCTCTTTCTAGGGCCGATCAGGAAGCCGCCCTTTTCAAAATATGGTCTATCCGTGGATAGCAATGTTGGTGCCATCGTCACGCATTGGTGAGTATGAGTTGGTAGTGAAAATAGCAAAGGCCCTGCATCAGACCACGTTCCGTAACGTTTCAGTGGATTTTGCCAGCTGATAGCATTCACTATAAAGCTTGGCCAATAACCAATCTGAAGGCTTACTATGACCTGACATTTGCATATGAGCTACTTGTTTATTGCACAATAACATAAGATTGTCATCAACTGACTAGACAGAAAGGAATATGAGATATAATATAACGGAACAGACAAATAGCAAAAACAAAAAGTAAATAGAATCACACCGGATCTAGAACTTTGCCAGACCAACTACTGTGTTGCCACCAAAACTGTGAATCGAGAATGAGCTTTAGCGGTTTTTTATAGCGTTCTACCACCCAATCACCAAGCCCAGAAAACAAAAGCAGGCCGGAAAGTGCATCAACAGGTCTAAGGAGTGCAGAGGTAGCCGATGCAGTTCGAAACGGCAGGTGCCGCACATTTAAGACCCTGGCAGCGCCAGTCAGTGGGGCAAGCAATGGGTGCAGCTGCAGCGCACACAAGGTCTGTGAACCAGGGGCAAGGGAGAAGGGAGAAGGAAGAAGATGTTAGAATGGGGAGGAGAATGGAAGACAGTCAGGCAAAGGGGAGAAAATGCTAGCAAAGGCAAGTAGAACAGGGGCAAATCTGCAAGAAAATAACATTCTTTCTGAGGTCAGCACTTGGAACGTAACCTGAAGCATCACTCACCAACGCAAGCCATGAGGAGAACAGCAGCAGCCGCATTGTTGACCGTCTTGGAAGTGAACAGTGCAGCAGCATTGGGCGTGCACACCCCTGTGCCACTGCACAGCATGCCCTGACCACTCTCACTGCCACAGATATCACACCCCGATGGTCGCTGCGCCGTGACACCCTCTTCAGTAGCGGTGTTGCAGGTGGTGGTGCTGGTGAAGCAGTTGCTGGCAGAGACGCAGGAGGTGGCGGAGTTGGCAGGGAAGGTGCCCGACAGGAAGTTGTTGGAGAGGACGATTGCCTTGAGCGATGCTGACACTGGTGGCACGCGGTATGTCAGGTAGTTGTAGGCTATGCTCCTGGATTGCACAAAGTTTATAGGTGGGGAGGGGGAGTGGGGGAGAGGGTTGTGAGAGGTTGTGGCGAGATGGGTGGGTCAGAAGCAAGTTCTGAACCAATGATGGGAGCAGGCTGGGATGGTGAGTGTGGATACTCATTTGGTAGCGAAGTAAGAGCGTGGGACATGTTTCAGTGGCATAGGGTAGGGCATGAGGCACGGGGCATGAAGCCTAGAGCATGGGACATGGGGCATGGGGCATGGGGCATGGGGCATGGGGCATGGGGCATGGGGCATGGGGCATGGGGCATGGGGCATGGGGCATGGGGCATGGGGCATGGGGCATGGGGCATGGGGCATGGGGCATGGGGCATGGAGCTTGGGGCATGGGGCATGGGGCATGGGGCATGGGGCATGGGGCATGGAGCTTGGGCCATGGGGCATGGGGCATGGAGCATGGGGCATGGGGCATGGAGCATGGGGCATGGGGCATGGAGCATGAGGCATGAGGCATGGGGCACAGGGCATGGGGTATGGAGCATGGGGCATGAGGCATGGGGCGTGGGGCATGGGGCATGGGGCATGGGGCATGGGGCATGGGGCATGGGGCATGGGGCATGGGGCATGGGGCATGGGGCATGGGGCATGGGGCATGGGGCATGGGGCATGGGGCATGGGGCATGGGGCATGGGGCATGGGGCATGGGGCATGGGGCATGGGGCATGGGGCATGGGGCATGGGGCATGGGGCATGGGGCATGGGGCATGGGGCATGGGGCATGGGGCATAGGGCGTTGGGCATGGGGCATGGGGCATGCGGCATGGGGTAAGTGGCATGCGGCATGGGGCATGGCGCATGCGGCACAGCACTGACAGGCGGGTGAGTTTGGTCATGGCGAGGAGTGGCGGGGGCAGAGAGCCCTTGAACCAGTTGTAGTCCAGCAGGCTGGCGGGGAGCACAGAGGAGCATAGGGGACACACGAATAAGAGGGACACAAAAAAGGGGCATAAGAGGTTCACTACAGGGGTTAGAAGCTGAATGCAGAACGGATGGGTCCTTGCTGAGTGGCTGTGAATGCAGGAAGAATGTGACTGGCAAAATATTGCACAGTGGGCATGGAAGGAACCACTAGGTTCACGATGGAATGCTAGCAGTGCAGGCATACAAGGCATAGTTGAGACTGAAAGGGTGGCAAGAGACTCACAGCACTTCTAGGTTGGTGAGGGCCGGAAGCCTCAGTGCAAAATCTTCAAGGCGTGCTCTGAACAAATTGGACTGCAGGTTGCTGTGAGGGGACGCACGGGGTGGGACACAGATGGGGTACCGCGGGGCCACAGTGAGGGCAGAGGGGGATCAGAGGGGGGGCATAGGGAGGGTAAAAGGGGGGGTACAGGTGGGGGCGTAGAGACGGAGAGAGGAGGACGGATTGAAGGGAGAGGGGAGGCAATAGGGAATAAAACGAGGTCGTGGTGGATGGGAGAAACACATGTTTGTACAAGAAAATAAGACTGGAGGGGATAGGATACGGCCGAGCAAGGGGTTGGGACCTCATATGCACTGGTGCGGGCAGGTGAATGCGTAGTTATTTAGGTAACATGGGTGCGTGAATACATGCGGATGAGTATTACAGACCATGAGATGGTTGCTCCATGTGTGTGACAATGGTATGCGCTTGAGCACTGACACAACTGTGACAACCCTCATAGATCTGGTGACGTGCTTGTGTGTGTGTGTGTGAACGGACATCTGCTCACAAGTATGTACTTTAAATGTGCATGTGTGCACTTACAGGTAAGTAAGCGCTGTGAGTTTGGTGACATCAGCCGGGAGCACTCCGAACAGCTGCTGGTTGTTGAGAGTACTGGCGCAGGTGGGCAGGCAACATAAGAGGAAGCAGAGGAAGCATCAAGGAGAAAAGATCAGTTGGGAGAAAACTGGAGTGGAGACAGCAGGAAGCAAATTAGGGCGAACAATCAGAATGTTAGGCAAAGGACACAGGGAAGGAAGCAGAGGGAGGAGCAGAAAGCGAATGGATTTATTCTGCCAGCTTGTCCGAATCCTCAAAAGCTGCACACAGCACTGGTTGGGCTGCAAATTGCTATTCCCTTCATTGAGACGAGTCTTCCAACACAATGAGGGTTCTATCTAAAATATGGTGCATCAAGTGCTCACATCTTGACAAGGTTGCCAGCTGAATCACACTCCACACCCGTCAAGCTCCCACTCGCCACAGTGCCAGCTGTCCCTGCCAGCGTGCAGACAGCGTTCACCGCCCACCCTGTGTGTGTCACTCCCAAGGCTGTCTTGATGCTCAGCAGCGCTGCCACTGTGGGTGGGGGAGGAAGGGATAAAGGGGGATGATGAAGAGAGTGAGGATTGAACCTGGTGTGTTAAATGGGAAAGTAGAACAGCAAAAATGTGAAAAGAACCAATGAGAAATGAGAAAGTAGACCGCAGCCAGACAAGAAACCAACGTGCATAGTGGGGCGTGGCCCCATGCCATCCACACCATGCCCCTGGGTGACTTACTGGCAGCAGAGTTGACGGGTACAGCCGGCAGCAAGGAGCATGCCATAGGGAGTGCATCTGCCGTGGGGCCATTGAGCGTTGAGAGGGACGCGAGGGAAGCTGCTGTGGGCTGGCACGTGGAAGCACCACCGCTGCCACACAGCACTCCTGTGCCATCGGCACTGCCACAGATACTGCACGTGGCTCTCTGAACGGTCCCTTTGCCTCCGTCCGCCGTGCAAGCGGCAGCGTTTGAGAAACAGTTGGTCTGTGCTGAGCAGGACTGCAAAGAAACTGCTGGGAATGTTCCGGTGAGGTAG